GCTGAGACCTCTATGCCTGGCCTGTATAAGCATATATACTCACTGCGGACAATCCTCGTCAGATAGCTGAACTCGTCAATACCGATTCATTCGAAAGAGGTGTTTATTCTTTAACATCAGGTTACAGCAGATGATAGGAACAGCAGATGAACAGTTATAGTATTGTGCGGTCAAAAGATGATGCCTTTCCTACGTACTGTGCAGATTACATGTGTGTCCTTGTTACATGTGGCTGTTCACTGTGGCCATGACACAGGAAGTACTGCACACAGGAAGAAGGAAGGGGCGTACACTAGGGGGAAATACATCGTCACATGAGGAATAATTACAGAAAGACATGTATATTACAACAAAAGGCCACTAGATGGCAGCATAGGATAACACATGGATTTAGCTATGAGAAAATAGTTAGGCAAACCACACTATATAAATTCTAACCTATATAACAATGCTAATCTTAACTGAGGCTATGCATCTCATATTCTATGCCCCTGTTGGGGCGGCACACTGTCCATCTCTGTCGGTATTATATTCTATATACATATTGGACCTCATCATCTCTCTATCCACATCTGTGACCTTGTTATATTCTGTACCCACATTGTACACGTTGGACCTCAGCGTCTCTCTCTGTCCATCTCTGTGACCGTGTTATATTCTGGACCTCAGAACTTCTCTCTGTCCCATTCTCTGATCATGTTATGCGTGGCTTCCATTCTTGGCACAGGCTCATTACCCAGCCAGCTGCAGTCACATGTCTCAGTGGATGGACGATGGAGGATTCTATGAGGGGATGACGGTGGAAGCTCAGAGCAAGCACTTGACCAAGCTTATCTCCAAGCATTGCCCCAGCTGTCAGGCTCCGATTGAGAAAAATGAGGGTTGTCTGCAGTAAGTAGTGATGTGTACTATGAATCTCGTCACCCTGCCATCACCTCAGAGGGGTCTGTGACCGACTTGCCTTCCTCTTACAGCATGACGTGTGCCAAATGTAACCATGGATTCTGCTGGCGCTGCCTGAAGCCCTGGAAGCCGACCCATAAAGACTACTACAACTGCACCGCTATGGTAAGTGTGATCAACGCTGAGAGAATTGTAAGTGAAACCGAACCCTTCTGTGGGTAGGCTACCATTGGGGCACCCCTTCTGTACCTCGCAGCCTGCGTCCTGTAACCAGGGCAGAGAATGGCTTGTGGCACATGCAACAGCTGCTTCCATCAAGGCCTAACATATCTGCTTTTAGCTGGGTTCATTTTCGTACATTTGTTCCTTATAGCGCATTGGGTTGTATTGGCTTACTCGTAGCTCCTTGCTTCTCTCATGTTCTTTCCATCTGTTCTGTCTGATCAGGAGACCATATGTGTGCCGTCTGCTACCCAGGCGGTGTATGGCATGTACAATGTGCTGTGTGGGCAGTGTGCCCTGTGCTGGCCAGACATTGTGTTGCATGTACAATGTGTTGTGTGGGCAGTGGGCTGTGTGTTTTCCAGGCAGCGTCTTGCATGTATAATATTGTGTGTGGAAGGTGTGCTGGCCAGATGGTGTGCCACATGTATATTGTGATGTGTGCTGCCAGACAGGTGTGCCATGTGCTGCATGTATAATGTTCAGTGTGGATGGTGTGCTGTGCGTTACCTGGATGGTGTGTCGCATGTATAATGTGCTGAGGGGGCTGGGTGCTGCCCGGAGTGTGTACTGCATGTATGCTTTGTAGATGGTGTGCCTTGTGCTGCCTGGACAGTGTGTGCGTCGCATGATTCCTGAATGATGTGCTGTATGTGTAATATGCTGCGTAGACAATGCCGTGTGCTGCCCAGCCAGTGTTTCCCATGTAAAGTGTATAATGCACTGTGTGAAGGGTATGCCGCATGTGTAATATGCTGTGTGTGCCGCATGTATAATGCGCAGTGTGGACGGTGTGCCGCATGTATCATGCGCCGTGTGGACGGTGTGCCGCATGTATAATGTGTTTCTGCCTCTCAGGTCAGTAAAGCCGCTCGTCAGGAGAAACGGTTTCAGGATTACAATGAACGATGCACCTTCCAGCACCAGGCCAAGGTAAGGCTCCGCTTTGGTTGGCAGACGTTTCTCTGGGGTGACGAGGAGCCTTATACACGTCGTCTCTGTTTCTCTCTCTGAAGGAATTTGCTATTTCTCTGAGGAATCGGCTGAGCGTCCTTAGTGAAGAACCCCCGCTGTGGACTCTGACCTTCCTGATCTCCGCTTGTAAGGTCTTGGAGATGGGCCGTAAGGTGAGAACTTGGATCTGCCTTGTCAATGCTTTCGGGTGGAGCTTCTCACCACGTTTCATGGACAATGTATCTCTCTGTACAGAGGAGTTTTTCCTGATTTGGGCTACAAATAGTTCTTCCTCTGCTGGTAGGTGAATAACTGGCCCTAGTATGTGTATGGATGTGAGCTCCCTCAGGGCAGGAACTAATGTGACTGTACAATATGTGAAACGCTGCCTACATTCTCAGCACTATAGACATACTAGGGATGCACTGATACTAGTATCTGTATTGGTGCCAATAAGGAGTATTTAGGCGTGTACTCACCCAAATGCACCGATAGCTTCCTCGATACTGGAACTTCCGGTTAGAGGAAGACTTCCTCTGACCGGCAGTGCTGTAAGAGCATGGAGCCAGCTTCTCTGGCAACTAGGTAGCTGGGTGGCGAGTAATGACCCACCTCCTGACTTCTTGATGTGCCGGGAGGCCGGCTTTCCAGCTAAACAGCATGAAGCCGGCTTCCCGGCCAATCAGGAAGCCGGGTGGCATGTCATTACCCGCTGCCCGGCTTCCTAATTGCCAGAGAAGACGGCTCCATGCCAGCGGAAGAAGCGATATTGTTACTTGGTATCGGCGAGTGCCTAAAGCAAAATATTGGTACTCGTACTCTATGCCAAAAAAACGGTATTGGTGCATCCCTAATAAATACCTATAAAAAATGGGGAGGGGGAATGAGTTGTTGATAGAAGATATATTGGAAGGAAGACGCCATTGTTTGAGATTTCTGTCACACTCAAAGCAAGCGACAAGGACAACCATTTCTTGCCGGATGAACAGGACTTTCTCATCTATTGAGAGACACCAACATTTAGGTTTGTTAGACTGTCGGGTTATATTGCTGCCTAAAGAAGAAATGGACACTGCAAAAAAAAACCTCCACACACAACCATGCCTTAGATTTTGCTAGTGTCCTCTGCGAGGTGGATGTGTGTTTGTTTGGAAGATTTATACTGGCAGATTTGGTAAATCCTGGAAGTCTCTCCAGTCGGCCAACAGCACTGGTAGGTCCATGCCGCATATATCAAATACGCAAAGTTTCTCCTGAGCACAGGATTCTAAGTGTTATCTCTGCAGCTGCGAGTGACATGCATTTGTGTCTCAGGTTCCATAGGACCCCTTATTCAGGTCAGGCCAGTATGTCTGGGGATTCCTTACTCGGGTATTGGGACCAAGTTATTGGGGTTCCTCAACCAGCAGCACCTGAAACTGGGATTGTGTTCTGGTGGTGTAGGGGACACCAGATGTGGACCTCCTGTTCTCGAAGTTCATCAACAAACTGGACTAGTTTGTCTCCATAGATGGGTCTCCTCTAGCTGAAGCAGTGGAAGCTCTGGTGGTTTCGTGGGATCGGTACATCTACCTATTTTCCTCCCTGAAACATAATCTGCTGAGCAGGATCAGGATTTGAGAGCATTCTGATGCTCCTCTTACCCCTGGACTGGACCAAGCACATGTGGTACATCCACCCAGTAAGACTCTTGGCAGACACTCTGTGGGCTCTGTTAGATTGTCAGGTTCTGCTTTTCCAAGGATGCTTTTCCATACAGCTTCATGGTCACTAGCGTTACCTGTGTGGCCTTCAAAGCTCTGTTTTTTTGAGTCGGGGCATCTCTGAATTTGTGTTTTTCTTCTATGCTAAAGGCTTGGAAGGCTACTTCCCCCAATGTCTGTCTTCAGACATGGAACGTTTGACTCTCGTCACTTTCAAGGGCCACGTGTCTGCCCGCTGTATCTTGTGGTAGAGACCGTTGTCATTCACTCCTTGATTTAGACTTGTGGACAGGGATACTGCCATTTGGCTCCCCCTGTGACTCCACATGATTTGAATCTGGTTCTCTCTGCACTCCCACAAGGTGATGTTTCTTGTAGTCATCACTTCAACAAGATGAGTGTCTGAGAAGGCATGCTTATCTTGTATGGAACCCTTTCTGGTTTTGCATAGGGACCACCTGGCTGCAGAAAAACCTAAAGGAGTGGTGAGTCTGGTAATGTCTCCTCGGTTTCTGCATTCACTAGGTGGTGGGCCAGGTGCTGAGGCACAGTCACTGGTATTATTTACAGCTGACATTACATAGTTACATAGTATTTGGGGTTGAATTAAGACATTAGTCCATCAAGTCCAACCCATATAGGTCCGCGCATCATCTCTTTCTTAGGAGTACTTGTACCCCTGGATATTACGGTCCCTCAGGAAATCATCCAAGAGTCTTTTTTTTTTTTTTTGAACAATTCTACACTGCCTGTGGCAGTGAGTTCCAGACCCTAACCGCTCGTACCATTAAGAACCCCCTTCGCCCCTTGTGCTGGAATTTGTTTTCCACCAATTTTAGGTGGTGGCCTAACATTAGATTGTTCTGAGCTTGTAATGTTTTCTTTTAGGAAGCTTCTGGATCTAAAAAACTGGGCGCCTAGTCCCCTCGACTACCTTGTAGCCCACCTAGATGCCACCAAGACTTTTCACAATCTGATGCCTTTTTTTAATACATTTTGTGGGTAAACTCAAGAGCAGTCCGGCCTCCAAATCCTCTATAGCTTGTGTTGGATCAGGCAGACTATCGGTGAAGTCTATAGATCATGCAGACCACTCCACCTTCCTTCATCAATGCACATTTTATGAGGGCATTGGTGGCTCCCTGGGCACAAAGATCGGGTGCCGCTCCAGACCAGATTTGCCAGATGGCCGTCTGGTTACGTTTGTCTGACATTATTGGTTGGATCTTCTGTCAAGTCTTCCAGGACACCAGGGTTCCCACGCTGTGTTACTCTGTTTTGATAGTTTGCATTTCCGTCCTTTTGGTTCTTTAAGTTAGGAGAAAGTGTGAGGGACGACCTTTCATCTTTGACCTGGTAATGTGTTTTCTGTCCTGGTGGGAGGTGCCTCTGTCTCTCGCACGCTGTCCTGGAAGATTACTGGACACAGAGTTACCGGTAAGTCTAACTCCCGTTTTCTTGCTGGCCCCTGTAAGAGTAATCTGGCTTATTGGCCCCACTATCTCTAGGTATCTAGGGCAGACCATCATCCAATCTTTTAGTCTTTAGGACTGGGTCCCGCTCTTTCCTGTCAAGGTGCACGCTACTAGATCTGCGAGTACTTTTAGTTCTAATCGGCGTCATGCAACTTTGACCAGTTTGCAGGGCTACCGCCTGGTCTTCTGTTTCTGTTTTCTAGCTGTACCCGGTGAATGTCCAGGCCTCCTCTCATGCCAGCTTTGGGTCCTTCAGGAGTCCTCAGTTCTCTGTTTTTTTCTGGGGCCAGTTAGTCTTTGGTGCTATATCTCCCACCCCTCTGTAGGACTGCTTTTGGACATCCTGATAGTCTAAGGATTTCTGTATCCTTCAAGGCACATGAAAGTATAATCATCTCCTCCCTGTAGTGGTTCTAGTACTGTCAGTTTCTCCCTGCATAATATTGCTTTAGATATATTGCTTAATCTTTTCCCCCGAGTATAATATTATTATGATGGATTTATAGAGCGCCAACAATTTGCGCAGCACTTTACAATATAAGGAAGACATTACAATCACAATACAATACAATTCAAGATAAGATGGTAAGGAGAGCCCCGCCCCTGAGGACTTACAATCTAAAAGGGAGGGGCCAGTGATACATGAGGAGAGAGCGGTGTGGGGATGAATTGTTTGAGAATGTGATGGTTGAGCGGTCAGGTTGCGGTGGGATCGGCTTCCCTGAAGAGATGAGTCTTTAGGGATCGCCTTAAGGCATTCAGAGTGGGAGATAGTCGGACTGGTTGGGGTAAAGAGCTCCAGAGGATGGGAGAAACTCTACAGAAGTCCTGGAGGCGAGTATGGGAGGAGTTGACGAGGGAGCTGGAAAGCAGGAGGTCTTGGGAAGAGCGGAGGGGACGGTTAGGGTGATACTTGGAGACAAGGCCTGAGATATATCCGGGGGCGGAGTTGTGGATGGCTTTGTAAGCGATTGTTAATATTTTGAATTTTATTCTTTGGGCGAGTGGAAGCCAGTGCAGGGATTGGCGGAGGGGGGTAAGGGATGGAAGCCAGGGCAGGGATCGGCAGATGGGGGATGGAAGCCAGTGGAGGGATTGACAGAGGGGGGTTGCAGATACTGAATGGTTGGTTAGGGAATGAGTCTGGAGGGAGTTGCAATAGTCAAGACGAGGTGAAGGTGAAGGTGGCAGGATTTGGATAGTGGTTGGATGTGGGGAAGAAAGATGAGGTCCGAGTCAAGGATGACAGCTAGGACCTTGGCATGGGGGGGAGGGCTGGATAGTTATCAATCTCAAGGGAAAAGTTGGGGGCAGGTGCACGGGGGCTGGAGGAAATATCACGAGCTCAGTTTTTGAACATCTGCAGCACATTCGGCTCCTCTCTGCATAATCTGCCTGTAGTATGGTCGGTTGTTCTCTGTATAACAAAGCTCTATTATGTTGGGTTCCCCTTACGGTGTCTTGCAGGTTCTCGGTTACGCCTGTGTCTATAGTTATTACAATCAGGATTCCGAGCGCCTTGATGTACTGGAGTCCCAGACAGAGAATTTGGAGTTTCACGTCAACGCGCTTCAGATTCTGCTCGGTAAGGAACTTCTCTCTATTTTTGATTGGGCAGCACAGGGGGTTGTGGCTGTGAACATCTTTGGGGGTGAAGTCATTAGTGGGGTTCTGATCTGCCTGTGTAATATGGATCTTCTGGGTGTTGTGCAGAGTACAGCCTTCTCCAGAGCGAGGATCTGGCCTGTTCTGTGCGCCTGCTGAGCTCTGACCGATATAACAGTGCCCTGGAGCTGGTGAGAAGAGTGCAGGAGAGACTGAACGGCATCTTACAGCACTCCACTCAGGTGAGATGGCGGGCTCCGGTGCAAGTATTGCCAGGATCAGGGGAGGGGGCTTGTGTTTAATCCCAGCTGATCGGAGACGTTCCATAATCTGCCTGATATTCTGTAGTGTAAAGCTGAGGCACAGAAAACAAGGCAGCAAACCAAATCTGTCTCACACAGGACTTCCGAGTAGGATTCCTCTCCCAGCCAGACGATAACGCAACAAAGGCCTCCAATGTGCCCGAAATATCTGCCTTTCCAGGAGCCTCAGAGTAAGAGACTGCAACCCTTCAATCATGTTCTGCTCCTTGATTCTTGCACAACCTATCACAAGCTTTGCTTCCTATCCTCTGTGCCCTTTGCTGCATCCTGGCCTCTAGCCTCCTGTCCTGTGCTCTTTGCTCCTTACTGGCTTGTAGCTTCCACTCCTGAGCATCCTCTGTGCTTCTTACTCTGTCCTGGCCTCTAGCTTCCCATCCTGTCCATTCTCTGCTATTTACTCCTTACTTGTATATAGTCTCCCATTGTGTCCATTCTCTGCGCTCATTGTGTCCGACCTCTAGCCTCCCATCCTGTCCATTCTCTGCTATTTACTCCTTACTTGTATATAGTCTCCCATTGTGTCCATTCTCTGCACTTATTCCATTCTATTCTCAAGCTTTCCATCCTCTCATTCCCCTGACCATAAGCCTACGCTATCCCAACCTCCAGCCTCCTATCCTGTCCATGCTACATGTCTATTTTTCTTTTTATCAAAAATAGAATGAAAGTCACTGTTGTTTAATGCTCTGACAGTGGTGGTGAACCTTGGCACTCCAGCTGTGCCAAAACTACAAATCCCAACATGCATCTGCCTCTGGGAGTTATGTCTGTGGCTGTCAGAGCCTTGCAATGCCTCATGGGACTTGTAGTTCCAAAACAGCTGGAGTGCCAAGGTTCGCCACCACTGCCCTATGACAACAAAACATGAAACCTTCCAAAGAGAGGGGAATACTTTTTACAGGAACTGACCTCTGCTCATTAATCCTTCTCTCTCCTCCTTCCTTTACTCGTTTATCCTCCTCTCTCCATTCTACTCGCTCCTCTTTCCTCACTCCATTCTTTTCCTCGCTAACTTCTACTGCTTGCTCATCCCTCTCCTCTGTCCCTTCTACTACTCGCTCATTCTTCGCTTTCTTCTTCTTGCTCTCCTCTTCACTCATCAATATCTTCTCTCACTTTCTTACTTGCTCATCCATCTCCTTGCTCCCTTCTAACTTCTCCCTTTCCCTTCTTCTCACTCCATTCTACTACATGCTTATCTCTATACTCTCTTCCTTCTACTCACTCATCCCCATGCTCCATTGTACTATTCCTTCTATCTCCTTGATATGCTCTCATCCCTCGCTTTTCTCTTCTACTACTTGCTCATTCTTCTCCTCGCTCCCCTGTTCTGTTCACTTATGTCTCTTCCTTTCCATCTTCTGCTTGCTCATTCGTCTTCTCACTTCCTTTTACTTATTCTTCTCGCTTCCTTTTACTTGCTCATTCTTCTCGCTTCCTTTTACTTGCTCATTCTTCTCGCTTCCTTTTACTTGCTCATTCTTCTCGCTTCCTTTTACTTGCTCATTCTTCTCGCTTCCTTTTACTTGCTCATTCTTCTCGCTTCCTTCTACTTGCTCATTCTTCTCGCTTCCTTCTACTTGCTCATTCTTCTCGCTTCCTTCTACTTGCTCATTCTTCTCGCTTCCTTCTACTTGCTCATTCTTCTCGCTTCCTTCTACTTGCTCATTCTTCTCGCTTCCTTCTACTTGCTCATTCTTCTCGCTTCCTTCTACTTGCTCATTCTTCTCGCTTCCTTCTACTTGCTCATTCTTCTCGCTTCCTTCTACTTGCTCATTCTTCTCACTTCCTTTTACTTGCTCATTCTTCTCAATTCCTTCTACTTGCTCATTTTTCTCGCTTCCTTCTACTTGCTCATTCTTCTCGCTTCCTTCTACTCATTCTTCTCGCTTCTACTTGCTCATTCTTCTTCTCGCTTCCTTCTACTTGCTCATTCTTCTCGCTTCCTTTTACTTATTCTTCTTCTCGCTTTCTTCTACTCGCTCATTCTTCTCGCTTTCTTCTACTTGCTCATTCTTTTTCTCGCTTCCTTCTACTTGCTCATTCTTCTTCTCGCTTCCTTCTACTTGCTCATTCTTCTTCTCACTTTCTTCTACTCGCTCATTCTTCTCGCTTCCTTCTACTTGCTCATTCTTCTCGCTTCCTTTTACTCGCTCATTCTTCTCGCTCCTCTATTTTGTCCCCTTACCTCTATCCTCTCTTCCTTCTCTACTCATTCATCCTACTCATATGTATCCTTGCTTCCCCTTCTCTCTTCTCTCTCGCTTATCTCTCTTCTGGTTTCATTTTACTCTCTTACTTCTGGTAGTTTTCGCTCAGGCTTTAGATTCATCCACATTGATTCCAGCTGGACTCAGATGACTGTGATGTATTATGTTTGTTCCTTGTGTGATTGGGGAATGTTGGGGGTATGATGGAATACTGGGGCGGGGAATGTTGGGGGTATAAGGGAATACTGGGGTGTGGAATGTTGGGGGTATAAGGGAATACTGGGGTGGGGAATGTTGGGGGTATAAGGGAATACTGGGGTGGGGAATGTTGGGGGTATAAGGGAATACTGGGGTGGGGAATGTTGGGGGTATAAGGGAATACTGGGGTGGGGAATGTTGGGGGTATAAGGGAATACTGGGGTGGGGAATGTTGGGGGTATAAGGGAATACTGGGGTGGGGAATGTTGGGGGTATAAGGGAATACTGGGGTGGGGAATGTTGGGGGTATAAGGGAATACTGGGGTGGGGAATGTTGGGGGTATAAGGGAATACTGGGGTGGGGAATGTTGGGGGTATAAGGGAATACTGGGGTGGGGAATGTTGGGGGTATAAGGGAATACTGGGGTGGGGAATGTTGGGGGTATAAGGGAATACTGGGGTGGGGAATGTTGGGGGTATAAGGGAATACTGGGGTGGGGAATGTTGGGGGTATAAGGGAATACTGGGGTGGGGAATGTTGGGGGTATAAGGGAATACTGGGGTGGGGAATGTTGGGGGTATAAGGGAATACTGGGGTGGGGAATGTTGGGGGTATAAGGGAATACTGGGGTGGGGAATGTTGGGGGTATAAGGGAATACTGGGGTGGGGAATGTTGGGGGTATAAGGGAATACTGGGGTGGGGAATGTTGGGGGTATAAGGGAATACTGGGGTGGGGAATGTTGGGGGTATAAGGGAATACTGGGGTGGGGAATGTTGGGGGTATAAGGGAATACTGGGGTGGGGAATGTTGGGGGTATAAGGGAATACTGGGGTGGGGAATGTTGGGGGTATAAGGGAATACTGGGGTGGGGAATGTTGGGGGTATAAGGGAATACTGGGGTGGGGAATGTTGGGGGTATAAGGGAATACTGGGGTGGGGAATGTTGGGGGTATAAGGGAATACTGGGGTGGGGAATGTTGGGGGTATAAGGGAATACTGGGGTGGGGAATGTTGGGGGTATAAGGGAATACTGGGGTGGGGAATGTTGGGGGTATAAGGGAATACTGGGGTGGGGAATGTTGGGGGTATAAGGGAATACTGGGGTGGGGAATGTTGGGGGTATAAGGGAATACTGGGGTGGGGAATGTTGGGGGTATAAGGGAATACTGGGGTGGGGAATGTTGGGGGTATAAGGGAATACTGGGGTGGGGAATGTTGGGGGTATAAGGGAATACTGGGGTCATTATTCTGCTGAGCTCTAGTAGATAAGATGCTTCTACATAGTAACATCAGATGAAGATTATTCTTCTGCCACCTGCGGGGAGGACCCTTCATGTGTTCCATATTGCTCTTTTAGCACTAGGGATGCCTCTGATTCTGGAGATACGGCAGGGGAACAGGAAGATGAGGAGGAGGATGACGATGAGTATGTCCCGGAATGGCACGTGGACTACGATGACGATTTAGACGAGGATGATTTCTCGTACGATGAAGACGACGAATCTGAGAACCTGGAACCAGACTCCTTTATATTTGAGGATTACGATGGAGAGGCGTACGAGTGAATCCGCACACCCGCTCCTCCCCAAATTTTGTTCAGAGTTGTCATTAATGTCCACCAGGGTGCTTCTTCACTCTGCCCACTTCCCCCCTCCCCGTGCCTCAGTTATCATTTCCTTGGGAACGCCAGTAATTCCAGATAATTCACTGATAGACTACAGGCCCAGCTTTCCTGACTGGACTGCAATTATATA